AACACTAGTCCCTTTGAAGTCAGTGAAATCCGCTTGTTTGTGTGGGACCTGGATCTAGACCTTAGTGATGAAACACTTTGTTTTGCATTTATTTGTTTGGAAGAGGATACTAGAGACTCATCCCTCTCTCTCTGTCATGAGATCTGAGAAATGTCTGAATTTCTTGTGTTGCATTCAGGTTGAACAACCTAGTTTAGGCCCTTCTGAAGAGCTTTTCTGGTCCTAAAAGGACCGTGTCCTACAGTTTATCACAATCCACTGCTGTCACAATGTACTAGGAAATCTAAGGAGGCTTAAGTAGCCTCGGAATAACCATGGCGAGAGTGATGAAGGTCTTGTTCTGTGCCCAGAGAGAGAGGGGCAGCGAAGAGAGATGTTCGGGAGAGAACACTCAGCTCAGCTTTCTGTTGGACATCATTTAAAAATCAGGTACCTCTGAGGCGTGGCTAAAGCCAGAGGTACACCCTTGTAACCTACCAGCACACGGCGGGCTGTGACCCCAGCAGCAGAGCTCCCGGCAGACGCGTGCTCGCGCGCGACGGGCCGGGGACAGAAAGAAACCAGCACGTAGCAGAGGTGATAGGCCAGAGTCGTCACGCCCAGATACTGAGCCACTACGACCTTTTTATTTGAAGAGATTTTTTGATAAACATTTGTAAATGTGTCGGGAGGGAAAACACCCCAAGTCTGATACGTCTTTTTAGAGCTTGTCTGTACGAAACCCTAGGTGTCTTTTCTATGAATCTGTGCCGTGAGAAGATCTCTGTTTTGATGAAGCACTTGACCCAGTGAAACGCAAAGATGCTTTTTGCCGTGCGCACGCGGATGTGAAGGCTGTGCTAGCTGGAAGAGACCAGGTTTGGTGGGGGTTTCTTCAGTTTTCTTTTTAGAATCATTCCCTTTGCTGACTTTACCAGTTCCAGTCCAGTAGTTAACCTAGTTAAGCTCAGCACGTCTCTCGTGTTAATGTAACGTTCCGACTGCACGTCCTGTTCCCAAGGGCCTTGCCATCTTACCTGTGCAGGAGCTATTAAGAGCTATTACAGCGAATGTTTTCTAATTTTCTCAGAGACGAGCATTCTAACCTGCACTTTGAAGGCTTTGCTTTTTTTTTTAATTTTTTTGTCTTTTTAATGGCCAGGATTATTTTGTTTTCCAAGTTTTAAAAACCTTAATAGAGTCCTCACCTATGGCATTGTTTGAAACTTTGTATATCCTTAAGTAATTTAACTACCCCTCGTTACTAAGGAAGAAAAAAAAGAGGAAAAAAATGCTTTATAAAATTCATAACTTATTGCTGATTTGAATGGGTTGTTAATTTCAGTCCTTTAGATTTTATTTTATTGTTTTAAGTAGGGTTGGGCAAAAAGAGATAAAATAAAAAAAAATAAAGACAACCATATTTAGCAGTGCAGTGGAATTGTGTTTAAATGTTAGCATATGGTCCCCATTAAAGTAGCACTTTAACGCCATTAAACATTTCTGTATCTGAAACGAGTCGTCGTCTTCCATCTTGGTCATTCGTGTTGCTTCAGCTGACTCTTTGTTTTCCTCGTGCCCCTTGATCCTGTGATGGGAAGATCCCGAGCGAGTCAGCCGTGGACTTCTGCATTCGGATAAGTTGCCTGTGTTTAAATATTCTGACGCTTCCCCCCTCTCCTCCAAACGTGTCGTCCCTGTCGGAAACACAACTCGCGCTTGAGCAGAGAAATGATCTTTCTGTGGCTGTAAGGAACGATTTCTGTTTGCTTTGGGTTTTTTAACTGAATTTCCTTACTGAGGTTGGAGCAGGCTGCTGCTGTTAAATCTGTTTTCGCGTGTGTGTAATCCAGCGGCTCGGCACATCTGTTCCCTCTTCCTTCGGGGAGGCGACCTGGTGGGAGTCTGCCACAGGCTGAACTGAGCTCTAGGTTAGCAACTGGGGCCTGAGGGTTTGCAGAGAAGAAATGCTGCTTGGATTTATGTTGGGGGTCCGTGTAATCTCTCGGTGACACAAGGTTTGGGACAATCTTTGGAGTGGTGAAAAGTGGGAAACCTTAGCTCTAGCAAGGCCTTACGGGTTTATTCATGATTATTCTCCTTGCAGGTGTTGACCGCGGGCAGCCCTGGTGCTGAGCAGGCGAATGCCAGTGGGATTGATTTATTTATGACCCTTTTCCTGTCCCAACACCTCCTCCTTCTGTTATTCCTGTCTGAAACATCAACATCAGAAGGATATAGACCAGTGGGAGCGAGTCCAGAGGAGGCCACGGAGATGCTCTGAGGACTGGAGCCCCTCTGCTATGGGGACAGGCTGAGAGAGTTGGGCTTGTTCAGCCTGGAGAAGAGAAGGCTCCGGGGAGACCTTATAGCACCTTCCAGTGCCTGAAGGGGCTACAAGGAAGCTGGGGGGGACTTTTTACAAGGGCCTGTAGTGACAGGACAAGGGGTAACGGGTTTAAATTGAAAGTGGGGAGTTTTAGATTAGATATCAGGAAGAAATTCTTCCCAGAGAGGGTGGTGAGGCACTGGAACAGGTTGCCCAAAGAAGCTGTGGATGCCCCATCCCTGGAAGTGTTCAAGGCCAGGCTGGATGAGGCTTTGAGCAACCTGGTCTAGTGGAAGGTGTCCCTGCCCATGGCAGGGGGGTTGGAACTGGATGGGCTTTAAGGTCCCTTCCAACCCAAACCGTTCTGTGAGTCTAAGAAAACTCTTACCCTTTAAAGCTGAGATGGTCCCTCACACTACTGAGCTCTAAGAGATCCAATAGAGCAACTCAAATCCTCTGGTTTTCCCCAGAAAAGTGCTCCCAGAAGCTGTCTGTTTTGTCCAACTCTACTGCAAGAGAAGGTAATTGTTTTCATTCACCCTGAAAGATAATGACGCTGGAAGCATGTTGCTCTTTGGGTTCCCAACTTCAGTATTTTTTGATGCACAAGTGTGTGGGATTTGTGCTTGTTCTGAGGCCTCGTTTTACTCCCCTGCAAATAGAGAGTGAAGTGAAGCGCTTCACTCCCAGTCCCCTCTGTGGCCCTGGTGTCTGCCCACCACACGCACTCCGGTTTCATCCAGGATAACACTCTTAATTGGGGTGTGGAATCACGTTTTCCTTTCATCTCTGAGAAATTGTGCGAGGTTTTTTGTGGTTTGCATCTTGGGGGCTGTTGTTTTCCTGCTTTATCTTTGTGTTTGGAGAGTGGCAGGCATCCTGCATCTATTCTCTGCTCAGTTTTACAAGAATAAGGTGCCTTTCCATGTAAACCCCAAACCGGTTGCGCTCCCAGGAAACCTGTACCCAGAAAAGTGCTCCCAGAAGCTGTCTGTTTTGTCCGAACTCTACTGCAAGAGAAGGTAATTGTTTTCATTCACCCTGAAAGATAATGACGCTGGAAGCATGTTGCTCTTTGGGTTCCCAACTTCAGTATTTTTTGATGCACAAGTGTGTGGGATTTGTGCTTGTTCTGAGGCCTCGTTTTACTCCCCTGCAAATAGAGAGTGAAGCGCTTCACTCCCAGTCCCCTCTGTGGCCCTGGTGTCTGCCCACCACACGCACTCCGGTTTCATCCAGGATAACACTCTTAATTGGGGTGTGGAATCACGTTTTCCTTTCATCTCTGAGAAATTGTGCGAGGTTTTTTGTGGTTTGCATCTTGGGGGCTGTTGTTTTCCTGCTTTATCTTTGTGTTTGGAGAGTGGCAGGCATCCTGCATCTATTCTCTGCTCAGTTTTACAAGAATAAGGTGCCTTTCCATGTAAACCCCAAACCGGTTGCGCTCCCAGGAAACCTGTAGGCCGATAGGAAGGGGGTCAGCTGCACAGATCTGTCTTGTGGTTGTGTCTTCCGGTTGGTTATTTCTGGCCCCGGAGCTCCAGCCTCCTGCTCCTCCGCCCTCCTGTACCTGCCGCTCCCTGCCCCTTGGCTGTGTTGGTCCTGTTGAAGGGGATGTAACCGTTGGCTTCAGCGGAAGTGCGATCCGTCGTCTGCGCTGCGTGGAGATGGGAGTCCTGAGGGGTTTTTTGCACCCTCCCCCCTCAGGATCATGAGGTTTCTTGCTGCCTGTTTTCTTGGCACCAGCCGTACACCGTTGGGAAGAGAAACTGGGGTCCCTTCTGGAGGATGATGGTGACACCCGGGACTTTGTCCTGAGGTTAGGGAGGTGGTGATGTTAGTCATGAAGCCCATAAATAATGGAATCAAGTCCAGTGTGTTTTCCTGAGGCTTTTCCCTGTGGACAGATTCTCTGGTGAGGGATAAATTCTGTAACCGTGTAGTGGGTGAAACTCCTTTGCCTCTGTGACAGTCTCTGAATTGTCCCGTGGGCCCTCGGGAAGAGGAGCATGTCCCCCTTCCTCTCCCTTCACCTGGCTGCCCAGAGTATCTGGAAAACACTGATGCGCTGTTAGAGCAGCTGGAAACGGGCCGAGAGACCCGAGGGATGCTTGGGAGAACAAACACGGGAGAGGAGGCTTTTACGAGGGACCGTGTCCCGTGCAGCGCCCCGCTCCGAGAGGAACACGTCTGCGCGCTCTGCCACGTTCCTTTTCTGTGAAGTCTCTAGCGCAGGGAGTTGCAGGTTTTGCTTGACTGTTCGCTTTGCTAACTTTTCCAGCCGGATGTCAGCGTTTCTAGGGACTGTCCGCGTGGTAGCAGGCTGTGCCAGCGCTGGGGTAGGTACTTACGCTGCCGAGAGGCCTAGAAGTGGGTGCGGAGGGGAGTTCTCAGCCTCCCGCTGTCTTCCTGCTCGGACAACTGGGCGACGCAGTTGAACCCAAACCACGTTCAGCCACGCATTTCGGGTCACTTGGGTGTTTGTAACCCAAGGAAGCCTGTGTGTGTTTTGGCGGTCAGCAGTGTTGCTTAACTCGCGATTTACTTCACTCCCCGAGTTTCTCAAGCAGCGTTCCGCAGCCGGGCTCCCCCCGAGCTGGCACCCGCTGCGGCCGAGGGCACAGCCCCAGAAGAGCCGAGGGCTGTGTGGCCAAGGTGGCG